GTCTAGGTGACAGAGTGCGACTCTGTCTCTAAAAAATAAATAAATAAGTAAAAATGAAAAGATACAGAGACGGGGGGTGTAACTGTACGTGGGGGTGGGGGGGCCTGTCCTACTGAGATAACCTCAGCCCCTTGTCCTGGGGCATCTGGGGACCTCAGGCTGCGGGGACCTTTCTGTTCCATTCTAGAGGCTGATCCTGATACAGGGGTCTGTGACTACTGCCCAATCCACCTCGGACTCAGAGATGGTGGTTGCCAAACCCTGCAGAGGTCACCCTGGCCTGGGGACTGACACCACAAGCAGAGATGTGGATTGAGGTGACAGGTCTTGGGAGCTGGCAGGGTCTAGACGCAGGAGGCAGGAGGCCTGGTCTGTGACTGGCTGGATGACCCCAGGCCCTGGGCAATCTCTTTGGGCCTCAGTTTCCTTAATCAAGTCCCTTGATCAACCTGGAAAAATGACTAAATGGGCTTCTACACGTGGGAGTTGTTGATTTACACTCAGAGAGATATAGCACTTTCCTAGCCCGCATGTCAGCCGTGTGCATGACCAGACGTACACAAGCAAACAGGGACAGGAATGCACACACACACCTCCATATCCACAGACATGCACACACCAGTCACACATATGAAGCATTCAGTTACGTATAGAGACATGCAGAGCCATGTGCCACACATTCAAACATGTACGCAAACATGTGTACAAGCTGTGTGACCTTGTGCTAGTGGCTCAACCTCTCTGTGCTTCTACTCCCTCTTCTATAAAGTGGGTGTAAAAATGCTACCTGCCTCCTGTGGCTGCTGGGGAAGTGCCTGGCACACGGTAAGCGCTGTGGGAGTGTTTGCTGTTACTATTGTTATTGTTGGCATCTGGTTCTCATAAGAAAGCTTGAGATGACCTGGTCATGGGGCACTTTTGCCTTCACGGGTCCCTTCCTCCAGCAAAAAATACTAAAAATGTTTTATGGCTGTGCGGGTACAAAGATGAATGTAATCCAGTTTGGATTCTATTCATTTTTTTCCTATCGATTTCGAAGAAATGAACACATTTTTGTAGGCCGCTAAAGGAACCCTGGGCTCCCGGCGCTGTGCCCACGGTCCCTGATGGGTGCGTGGGCCCTGGCTGCGGCCCCTCCTCATGTGAGCTGGTATATGAAGGGCTGACCCGGAGTTCGGGAATGTTCTGTGGATCAACCTGAGCACCTGCCCTAGGCCCTGGAGGTGCCTGTACTGTGCCCTCGGGCAGCCAGGAGAAAGCTGTTCTCGCTGGGAAAGAGCAGGCAGGGCGGGAGCTGCCTCCGGCGTGCGCACGGCTGGGGCCAGCCCCTCGTGCAGGGACCAGCCCGTCAGAGGATGCCATTACCCCAGTGGCCCAGACTGCCTGAGTTACTGTGGTGACGCTAGCTTGGCTGATTTTCTGGCCAAGATAACCATGTCTGAAGCAGCAGCCCCAGGCGGCTCGTACATACCTGTAGGGGGAAGCCCTGAGACAGCGAATGTCCTGTGATTGGAAGGGTGGGGCCTCGGAGTTGGATTAACTTGCGTATTTAGAGAGGGGACTGTTTTGTTTGCCCAGACTGTGAGGCACCCACATGTTGTATACACAGAAAACATTCGTTCATTCATTCATTCATTCCTCCCACGCTCACTGAGCACATACTATGAGCAGGCCCTGTGCTGGGACTGGGTTTACAGAGATGGTAAGACCCTGTTCAGCACCGGGGGAGCTCCCTGCTGGCCAGGGCGATAAGTATCGCTTGAGATGGTGAGATGGGCCACAGCCTGGGAGCTCTGCATGAGAAGAGATTCGTTCTGGGTGGGAGTTCGATGGGGTGCAGGCTGGGAAAAGATTCCTTCTCTCCAGATTCCACGTCCAAAATGAATTTGAGAGCTTGAGGATGTGAGGACACTAGAATCCCCACCTCCATGCTGCCGAACGCTGGGATTTTCAGGGCCTGGAGTGACAGGTTCACTCCAGGACTTGTGACCTCAGAATCCCTGAGCCACTCGGGGCCAGACCGTACCGGAAAATGGAAAAATAACCACAAGTGACTCAGCGGAGGCTGGGCTGAGGGGTGTGGGGGGACATGGTCAGATGGTGCCCTGGGGCCTCAGGAGCAATGCCAGGGCGGGGAGCGGCGGGGGCAGGGGAGAGAGCCTGAGAAAAGAGGCAGGTGCTACGGACTGGCGCCCAAGTGTCCTGGCTGCTGGGGCGGACTCTCAGGTGGCAGCTGTCATGTCTTGGGTGAGGCCCACTGAGGGGCCAGCGAGGGGCTGGCAGGGTCTCTCAAAGCCAGGTGGAAGTCCAGGGCCTTAGAGAGGGCTGGGGGCTAGACAAGGGGTTGGCGCTCAGCGAGGGGTTAAGGTTCAGCGAGGGCGGGGGGGTTCAGCGGGGGTTGGGTGTTTGGTGATGGGGCCGAGACTCTGTGCCGGAAGAGTTTTAAGGAACCACCTCTCTTGGTCCCTGGATCACCCTGGGCCTCTTCCTTCCTCCACCTGCTTCCTCTGCCAGGCTGGGCCCAGAGGTCGTGTGCAGGCCGAGGCTGAGGGCCCTGAGGGGCTGAGACCTCGTGGTGGAGGGCCCTGGCTTGGGACAGCTGGCCCCTGTCTCATGTTCCGAGGACTGGAGGTCCCCCGTCCGTCACCAGGCCAGCGGGGCTCGAGCTCTGGAGCTGCACTGAAGCCCCTCCCTTCCAGCACCCTCCATGCCTCGTTCCTGCGCCCCTTCCGGGAGGGTGTTAGGGACCCTGATGTTCTTCCCCCGGGAAGGGGCGCTGGAAGGCAGTGCTTAACCTGAAGTCTTGTGTTGACAGTGGTGGTGTCTTGGGCACCGGGTAGCGTGTAGGGGTGGCGTGTCCCAGGAAATGCACTTCCAGGACGCTGCCCTCCGGGGGCAGGGCCTGTGAGGAAGCCCTGGCTGCTGCAGTACCGCCCATGGCCACCCAGGGGCAGCCGTGCCCAGCCCGATCCCAAACCCCAGCTCCCCAGCTCTGCCTCAGGGTGTGCCCAGCAGAGGGGGGTGCCCAACCTGGAACCACTGGGCTGGAGAGACCCCAGACCCTAGCCCACCTCGCACTGAGCAGATGGGGAGACTGAGCCCCAGTGGATGATCTGTCCAAAGCCACACGGGGAGCTGCCGGTGTCCGCCCCCCACCCCTCCGGGAGTTTCCCCAGCCTGTTCAAGACTTTGGACATCTCTGTGTGTAACGGGGGTTCCTGGGGGGCTATAGGGTGCAGCAATCCAGAATCCCCAGGGCCTGAATGCCACTCCCGGCCCCCGTGTTGTGTGCCAGGGGCTCCTCTGCTTGCGAGGCAGGGTTGGTGGAGGGTTAGGCCACGGGCTGTGAGCTCGCAGCCCAGGCCCAGATCCTGCCACCCTACGCGCCTGTGTGCCTCTGGGAGGCTGTCCAGGCTTCCCCGTTCCTATCTGCAAAAGAGGAATAAAAATATCACCCCCCATAAGCTCATCGTGAGGATTTAAATGAGCTAATCTAAGCAGAGCACTAAGACTAGCGCCTGGTGACAGCATATGGGTCACCTGCGCTTCTCCCAGGCTCTGACACGACTGTCCCAGCACCCAGATGGCCCTGTCCCTGTCCCCTCCTTCCCCAGTCCCTCCTCTGCCCCACTAACCATCAAGAACCACACACACATAGGAATATAGAATTTTATCTTATTTTAGTTAAAAAAAATAATCGTACCACCGAATGAAGAAGTAGCTTTTTTTTTGGGGGGGGGGTGAGAAGGGAGGAAAAAAATAAAAAGCAAAAAGCCAAAAGGAAAAGAAAATTTTATATCCATCTGTATAAACATATCCGCTAAGGCAAACACAGCCCAGGGCCAAGGCTGCGCCGGGCTCAGTCCCTCCTCAATTCTGCAGATTCTAAGGCCAAAAAAATAAAACCTCTGCAAGTCCAACAGAGCTCCACGGACTCCCGGGGCGTTTTACTAAAATAAAGAGTTATTGAGTTTAAAAAGCAGTGACGCTGTTATGACACACACTGAAAGTTGCATAACTGTGGCCTCGAGGGCCGTGCACTTGTTCGGACTGGGCGACGGTCACGGCTTCACGACACAGCGACGGACACACACACGTGAGCAAGCACACGGGGCGCTGCGGCAGAACCGGGCCTGTGGCACGGGGGGCTGGGGTCCCCATGCCACCTCGGGGTGGGCATGGCAGGCAGGTCCCGTCGCTGGTGACAAGGCGGTGGACATCGCTTGGGGAGGGCAGGCGTGAGAGGGCTGAGCAGGGCCCCGCCACCGCCTGGTGCATGCAAACACGCTCGAAGCACTTCTCGGTGCTTCCAGGACAATCGACACGAAGCGCTGGTTTCCTTCCCTACGAAGGCGCCGAGTCCTCCTCCCACCCTACTCTCCGCAGGGCTCCCTGCGACCCTCAGGGCGTTCTGGGGGGCGGTGCTAGGGAAGGTGCCTCTGCCCCCCAGAGTGTTCCTTGCCCACAATCCCATGGCATGCCCGGCAGAGGGTGGGCCCGTGAGGTAGATCGGCACAGCTGCCCTCACCTTGCCTGGCTGGGCCCCAGAGACCTGGGGTCTCCATGTCAGCATGGGGTGGTCCCTTCACCAAAACAGCCCCCCCATTCTAGCAGATAGAGGCAGAGGCAGGAGGAAGGTCCTGGAGGTCCTGGGGTGGGGGCCCCCTTGTGTCCCGCTCCATGGGGTGGCCACGACCCTTTCATCTCTGAGGGCCCCGGCAGCAGTGCAGCCGCTGGCTGAGGGCAGGTGGCCCCTGGGCACGGCGGAGGGGGTGTGTGGAGGGTGGACCCACAGGGCAGGGAGGGTCCAGGGCCCCGGAGCTGGGCCCGGAGCAGCACGGGAGCAGGCAGCAGGGCAGCCGGCGGGGACAGCCGTGGGGATTGCCAGGGAGGGCCAGGCAGGGAGCCGGCGCTGGTGTCGCGGCCTCAGGGACAGTGGGAGGGAGCGGGGAGCAGCCAGGCCACCTCTGGGGGACGCCTCAACTGGCCCCGTTCACAGGATGTTCAGGTTTTTAGTAGTGGTCCTGCGAGACAGGGCGAGGACTCAGGCTCAGCCCCCGCACGCCCGCCCTTGCCCCGGACCGGCACCAGCCGAGGTAGACGCGGCCGCAGCGCCGCTACTTGAAGGTGGACTGCAGCTCCTTGAAGGCGGCCTTCCGCTGCTTCAGCTCCTCCGCCTGCTTCTTCCGCTCCTCCTGCTCCGCCCTGATCTCCTCCTCGAAGCGGCTGGACTCGCTGATGGCCTGGACCTGCCAGGGCGTTGGGGTGGGGTCAGGGCTGACGGGGGTCCCTGTGCTAAGGCTGCTCTCTCTGGGGTCCCTTCAGGCCCACGCTTGTCCCGCCAGGCAACGCACACAGCTCTGCCTGGGCCGGGCACTTCCTCCACCTCTCAGAGGCTCAGCGTCTCCACTCAGAACCTGGCGCCCATACCCCTGACCTCAGGGACTCCTTGTCCGTGGCTGAGCAGAGCCGGTGTCCTGCAAATGGGGCTCCTGCTGCTGCTGCTGGCTGTATCCTGTTTCCCATCTGGGGAGCCCGGCCGCACACCCCGTTCCACTGAGGAACCCTGACATGTGCCATCAACGCGTGGAAGGCCACAGGGAGGCAGAGGCGGCCTCTGGAAGGAATATGCTTAGCTCAACATGGAAAGTGGGAGAAACGAGGAAAGGTGGGTGCCCTGGGTAGGCAGGACCCAGGAGCCACTAGACCATACTTGTCCCCTCCACCTAAGCATGTCCTGAAAGGGGAGGGTGTCGTGCATGCAGGTGGCCTCAGGGCCCCCCGTGCTTCCTCCAGGCTGGGGCTGGCAGGGACAGTGTCTCCGAGGGGCCCTGGGGAGCCCGTGCTGTTTCGGGGCCTGCGCTGCTCTCTCCCGGCCCTCCCTCCTTAGGGCCAGTCCTTTGGGGTAGCACTCGGTGTGTCAACATGTCCCTGTCTCCTCTTCAAGAGTACACACCCCTCACCTACCCCTCTGGCAGGTGAGAAAGGGGCGTCTGGGAAGGCTCACAGCCTGGAACGGAGGGGACAGAAGCCAGGGGTGCTGCGGGCCTTGCCCAGCCCAGCAGGTATCAGCTCCCACCCATCTGCAGCCTCAGCAGGGACAAGAAGGGGATGCGTTAACCCTCGAGCCGACCCGGAGTCCCCTGTCCTTGAGCTGGGGTCAGGGCACCCCTCGGGCCCCTCACCTTGGCCTCGAAGAAGCTCTTGGCCCCCTTGACGCCCTCACTGGAGACATCGATCTCGGAGAGGCGGGCCAGCACGCAGAGCCCGCTGTCCTCCTGCAGCTCGCCAGCCGCTGCCTTGCGGAAGATCAGGAGGAACTGCAGGGGAGAGGCACATGGTTGAGGGGGGAGGGGAGGGAGCCCAAGTCCCTGGCCACAGACGAGGCCAGCCTCAGGCCGCCCCCCTGGAGAAAGGGACAGGGAGCCAGAGAGCTGCTCTCCCCGTCGTGCTCCTATGCCTGTCCCTCTCGGGACCTCCGCTTGCCCATCTGCGTAATGGGAGGTCAGGTGACTCAGCTCCTGCCTGCCCAGGATCCTGGGATACCGCGGCCCTGCTCCTTCCACACCCAACTCCCGCCAACACGGCTGCAACCTCCCTACCTCTCTTCCTTCTCTCCCACTGCTCCCAAATCTGCTGTGTGCTCCATTTATTGAGTCCTAAAGCTACTAGGATTGAGTCCGTTTTGCAGAATGAGGAAGCCTCAGAGGCAGTAAAGGATTTGCCCAAGGCCTTGGAGCCAGAAAGTACCAGAAGGACTTGAACCTGTGTCCTCTGACTCCAAACTGTTACCCTGCACTGCCCAAACCTCCCTCCCAGCCACTCGTCCCCTCCACTGGCCCCTGCCACCTCTCTCCTTCCCTGCCTCCTTCCTGCTCGCTCTCCCAGGGCCCAACACCACTGCTGTTGGGCCTTCAGCCTCCTCTTCCTCACCCCAGAACAGGCCTGTGCACAGCTCCTGTTAGAGTGACATCCCGAGCCTGAAGTCACCAGCACTGTGCCTGCCACCCCTCTTCCCCCGAAAGACAGCAGTGTGTCAGTTCCCTCTTTGGTGTCTGCCCCTCTGTGCTCCAGGACCCTTGGGGCCCCTTCCGTGCGCCCCAGAGCCTCCTCTGCGAGGCCCTCTGCAGCCTCGCTCAGCCAGGCACCAGCCAGTCACAGCTGGCTGTTCAATGACAGTGTCGTTCAATGACAAAGGGGGGTGAGTCTTTCCCTGGCCATCACGTCCTCAGGTGTAGCCCCTGATGGGGAGGGGGCTGGGGGTGGGGCTCACCTCCCGGAAGCTGAGCTTGCTGTCAAAGTCCTCGTCCACCTCCTTGATCATGTTTTTCAGGCCCAGGTGGGTCTGGGGGGCCCCAAGTTTCTCCATCATGAGCTTTAGCTCCATCAGGTCGATGAAGCCGTCCCGCCCGGCATCATACCTGTGGGTGCAGAGAGAGAGGCCTAAGGACATCTTGGCACACCTTGTACCTGACCAGACGGAGAGGCTACAGCCTGAGTGCAAGGAGCCCGGGGGCTCAGAGGGCCTCTCCCACCAGCCATGTCATTCCTGTCACAGCTGGAGGGGACCTCAGCCCAGACAGAGTTCTGATACATGGCTCTGCCCCTGCTTGGTTCCCTCTGATGATGGGGAACTCATCACGTGGCCTGGCAGCCCCCTGCATGTTGAACGGTGGTAACTTTTGGGCAAGCCTGCACACAAGGACGCTGAAACCACAGCCTTCCCGTACTGACTGTGATGCGCACGAGCAGCGAGAAGGAATTCACAACACCAGGGGGTGGACCTGGCCCGGCGGTCAGCACGCACTGACCATCTCCAGGACAGGCTGGTATACCAGCGTCTCCACGGGCACTTGGGGGACATCTCAGGCCCACCCTGGGTGGCAGAGCCTTGCAGGCAAGGGCAGGGTTTCTCAGCCTCGGACTATTAACATCTGGACAGGATAATTCCTCGCTGTGTTGGGGAGGGCGGGGGGATGTCCTGTGCATGGCAGGATGTTTAGAGAAGCGTCCCTCCTGACAGTGACAGCCAGAAATGTCTCCCAGACATCACCAAATGTCTCCTGGGGGCAAAAGCATTCGCAGTTGAGAAGCGCGGGGACAGTGGGTGCGACGTGGACACGGAAGGCAGCCTCCTTCCGTGCAGAAAGTGCCTCTTCTCACTCAGCACCCTCCACCCTGGGTGTCTACTCCATGCCCCCAGCTTATGCTAGGTACCGGCAGGGGAGAGCAAGAAGCACATAGTAGATACTCAAAAAGCATCGCGTGACTAAATAATACACGAATGAACGAAGGGCCGTCTGAGACAGGGTCGCTGCCTTTGTTGAGTGCACGTCCAGGAAGGAGGCGGAAAGCAGGGGCAGAGGTCGCGGGGGAGGCCTGGGGTGTGTTCAGGGAACAGCGAGCGGGGTGCCTACAGGGAGTGGCGGAGAGCCAGCTGGGCAGCTGATAACAAGCCTCTGCCCTGCACACGGAAGTTCTTTCTTCAGCCACCCATGGCCGGGCAGAGTCAGGGACAGGCTGGGGGGCAGGGTCTAAATGTCCCTCTTGACTGGCCTCCAGGCCCATCCCCTGACTGGGAGCTGCCACTGGTGGCTGGAGCACATGGCTTGGCGGGCGGGGCCTTCTTTATCAGGGTAACCACAGCGCCCCGCCTGCGTCCTGGGGCAGCTGGGGCCAGCTGGGGCCAGCGGTCTCAGGGTTGGTAAAACGGGTTTTTCTGCACCTAAAGAAGCCTTGTGCAGTCCCCAAGGCCTCCAGCTGGCTGAATGACAGTGTTGTTGACAGCAGTATGGCACACAGGGGTTGAGTTCCAGAAACCTATGTCCTGGGGATTTGAGACGCTACACGAACACACATTTCATTCCTGTTCCTTCTTCCAGTGCCCTTTGCCCTTCTCTAGCTATGCGTACTTTGAACATCCAATAGCAACCGCTTACTGAAATCTGTCCTTGTGCCAGGAATTTTATTTTACTTAATCCTCATAATAACCTTATTTCACAACGGAGGCCCAGAGAGGTTAAGCGACCTGTCCAAGGTCACACAGCCGTAAGGAAGGAGTTGGGCTTCCACCCTGGGTCTGTCGGGCTCATAAACCCACACATTTGCTCTGTGCCCAGCCCCTCCCCCACGTGTCCTGGGCTTCGGCAGAACACAGACGTCTGCCTGGAGCGCTGAGGGGAGCATTTGTGCGAGGGGTATAAATAGTTCGCGAGCAAGTGAGTCAGTGGTTGGAAGCCACGAGGCACAGGAAGGGTGGGTCTTGAGCACCCCGGAGGGAACGCAGGGTCCTGAGGGCTTCTATGCCATCACGGGGCGAGGGCTGGGCTTAGGGTAGACGAGCCAGCTGTCCCTCTGGGCAGTGGCCACGGCTGGGGGTTAGAGGGTGTGGGACTCGGAGGGGCAGGCAGGCTGGAGCTCCCACAGTTCTGCCTCCACCTGGAAGGGCCCATCTCTGGAGCCTGCTTGCTGGGTGGTAGAGGGGCCGGGTGACTGCTTAGCAAAGTGCTGGGCACACAAAGCTAGCTCCATAAATGGCAGCTGCCACCACGAAAATGAGATTTAATTACCTTTACTAAACTCCCAATATGCACCAGGCACTTTCTCCTTACAACCCGTGCTCAGCAACCCTGGCTAGTCCGGATTACGGAAGGAGGGTTCAGATCCCAGCCTGGTGGTCCCCATGCCCTGTGCCCTCTGCCATCCCGCCTGCCTCTCTGAACCACCGCTTTATTTACTGCTCAAGTGGACAGGTTACTCTCGAAGCCGGGGGCAGCTCAGTTTCAGAGGAAGTGCAGAGAAAGTATCCAAACTTGGACAGAAACTTGGGCTCTGGATCCCGCCGGCTCTGGCAGCTCCCCGGCCTGGCTGGGCCACAGCTCAACCGCGGTTTGAACCACTGCCTGTAGCAATCAATTACGGGCGCTGGGCTCCATCCCAGGCAGGCTCTGGCCCCCGGGGGGCAATGCAGGGGCTGGCCACAGTGCCAAGGAATTCATCACCAAGGGGAGGTGACAGAGCGCTGGGAGCGGCCAGGTGCTGGGGTAGGAGGTGGGGCTCCCAGAGGCGTCCTTGCAGGGGCTGTTCCCACAAGACTCCCAGGGAGCGGATATCTGCCGTGTGCCCTGGGCTCTGACACGGTCTGAGGCAGGGGGGCAGCAGTTTCCGGGGTTGACCTGATTGAAGATGGCCTCGAAGGTTTGTGCTGACATCAATTCTGCCGAGACTGACCTGGGTCCAAACCCCAGCCCTGCCACCTGCTGGCTGGGTGAACCTGGGCAAGTCACCTACACCGTGAACCTCAGTTTCCCCATCTACATCGTGGAGGTCGAAGAACTCATCTCAGGACCGAGGCGAGGATTAAAAGAGTCGATACAAGCAGACCCTTAGCACAGACCCCGGCCCACAGTAAGCACTTAATACACGCTAAGTATCATAACAATAACCACTTAATATATCATTAATATCTACCTTTAAGATTATTAAAGAGTAAATGAGGGCCGGGCGCGGTGGCTCACGCCTGTAATCCTAGCTCTCTGGGAGGCCGAGGCGGGCGGATTGTTTGAGCTCAGGAGTTCGAGACCAGCCTGAGCAAAAGCGAGACCCCGTCTCTCCTAAAAATAGAAATTAATCGGACAACTAAAAATATATAGAAAAAATAAGCCGGGCATGGTGGCACATGCCTGTAGTCCCAGCTACTTGGGAGGCTGAGGCAGGAGGATCGCTTGAGCCCAGGAGTTTGAGGTTGCAGTGAGCTAGGATGATGCCATGGCACTCTAGCTGGGGCAACACAGTGAGACTCTGTCTCAAAAAAAAAGTAAATGAGATTACAGATATAAAATGCCTAATATAGAGCAGGTGCATAAAAGCTGTTAATTTCATGATAGCAGTAATAGCAGCTATTATATGGAGAAGTTTTTGTGTGCCAGATGCTATGCTGAGTACTTTACGGACACAAGATAAAATGGTGCTAATACTAGGACTCAGGCTCCAGTCCTGACGGGACAGGGCTCAGAGGAAAGCCTTGTGGTGGCCCGGCCGGGAGGCAGAGGTGGGCAAGATGATTCAGGGGTCCCTCCAGCATCCCCCTCCTCTGAAGTCCCACTTCTCCTCTACTGGGCCTGATTCAAAGCTTTCCCTCCTCTGCGGGGGGGAAGTGACAAGGGGAGGCTGTCACTGTGCCAGAAGTAGGGGAATGTCTGGCAGCACAGGGGAGAAGTTCTAAGATGGCTGCAAACAGGCATCTGCCTGGCTGGGGAGGCCCTCCCACCACCAGCCCTCTCTCTGAGCTGGAACTGAGGTTGCGGGAGGCTCAGAGGATTCAGGACAGAGAGCTCAGCCCGTAAGATCCAGCTAGATACCCTGGTCTACGTGTTTCATATTATGTAGGGAAATTGGGGCCCAGAGTGGGCAGTGACCAGCCCAGGGTCACACAGCTGGTGAAATGCAGGATCCCAATATTCCTCCCTCTTCTTCCTGCTCCCAAGGAGGGGCCCACATTCTCAAGCTTGCAGGAATGGGGGAGGCTGGGCTGGGAGACCTGCCTGGGGCCTCCCTGGTAAGGCCAATTCCGTTTGGCAGGACCAGCAGCAAAGCGCATGGGCTGGGAGCTCAGCACTCTTCTCCAGCACGGGAGGGAGGTTGCAGGCTCTGGCACCGTGCCCACATTCCTACCCGCCTCCCCCTGAATAGTTCTCACCAGGGAGGGCTCAGCAGCTGCCGCCCTGGATGCTGGTGACAAAATCCCCTCCCATTCCCCCCTTGAAAGTGGAGCAGCCGGCTGCCACCAGGGCTGAGCACAGTCCCACCCAGCTGGCTCTTCCCCACCCCCAGCTCTGAGAACCAGGACTGTGGGGGCGGGCAGGCAGTGGTGGCTCCAACAGCGTGCAGTATCAGTGGCCGGGCCTTGCAGCCAGGGCCTGTCCCCGATTCCTAACAATATTATCATTACTAATTACTCTTCGCTGAGCACCTACTATGTGCCAGGCACTACGCCAAGTGTTTTGCATCAGATCCTCACAAGAAATCCGCAAAGCAGGTGCAAACATCCCTACTGAACAGATGAGGAGAACGAGGCTCAGAGAGGCCGTGACTCGGCCCAGGTCATAGGTGACAAGGGTGTTGCTGGGATCTGAACCAGGCCTGATCGGAAACGTGCGCTCTTAATGACTGTGCTGTGTCCCCCGATGCCTGTCAGGACGTATCAGAGAACTTCAGGGTTGAGAGGGATATTGGAGGTCATCTCGTTCAGCCCTTTGTGAGGGTCAAATTCTGATGCAATTCTGTTTGGTGTCTTGAACACCTCTGAGGACAAGAAGCTCACTGCTTCCCTAAGGCAGCCCATCTTTGCTTTGGAACTATTAGGAAGCTGCTCTGTGCATGTCCCCACTCCTACCCGAAGCTGTGCTGTGCAGTCTGATGG